CCCCAAAACCCCAAAACCCCAAAACCCCAGCTATCTTACAAATAATTGAATAAAAATGCATAAGCGAGTAGGTAGCCACCAGAGGTCATTTGATGTAATGCAGAGAGATATCTCACAAGCATCTGGTAAGTCAGGCATCTCATTAATAGATTCTCCCAAGAAGATAAGGTTCTTAGGTGATTCTCCCACTACCATCTCGGTAAGGCTCAAGAGTGAGCTCTAGGACTATCAAAATTCTTCATTTGTGATTTCAACGAATAAGAGTGAATCAAGGTTTGGGAGAAGAGCCTCAAGGCACCGGAAATAGGAAACTCGAGAAGTCCCTCAGTAAGCCCTGATTTGTGTTAGTATGCTTTAGGATCATTGATCCTTCCTGATAAGGATCTTGATTGGGGGAAAATCGATCTCGGAGAAAACCTTGGTGATTTATTGAAACCATCTCAGCCTAATTTCGGGTACGGAGATGAACTGACTTTCTCCAAGGCTACTGAGAATACAACCGGCTGGAATGTATTCCTAGACTGAGTCCAAAAGTATCCAAAATAGAGAAAGAGTATGCTCCTTAGCTCAGAACATATTTGAGGCTAAACGCATGGAAGAAGAGAAATTGAAGGAGGCTAAGCGGCTTCGCAAACAATCTAAGATCACCAAATTAAGCCAACGAGGTAGTTTCCGACCTCGTAATAGTATCAGACCTGGAGGTAGCATTAGCTTTAATAGAGGGTAAGGCCTCAGCTGTAAATCTTTAGAGATCAGAAAATCCTTAAACCTGTTATTGAAAAAGCTTATCAGAATTTCTTAGAGAACGAGAGCAAGAAGAAGCTGAGCAAGAAATTGCCAAGTATCTCTCAACAGAGGGTGAACCCTCAGTTGAGATACAAATCGACAATGGTACTACTCGCCTCTGAACTCTGATAAATATTCGGTTAGATATTAAATGAAGGGGATAGTACCAACTATGAAATTTCATTGGGCCATAAAATAAATGAACTGGATCAAGCTATTAAGATTAACCCCAGTTCTTCTTAAACCAAGAGCCCTTTAGAGTTCAGATAGGTTAAAGGATCTTAGATTGACGAGGAGAAATTGATGAGGGGAGTTTCTATGAATTTTAACCGAATTAACACATAAGAGATACTTAATAGCTTGCCTCCTCAGAACCATATTATGAAAGAAATCTTAGATTTTAAGGAATCTAATAGCTGGAGCGCTTGATGTATAGTAGTATTGACATCACAAGTTGTCTAGTGTCAACACCTTTTATAATATATTTAAGCATCTGTGAAAGTATTACAAATTTTATAGAGGAAGGCTCTTAGAGTACTCAAAAGTACTTAGATGAAGTCACAATCACTTCTATTTTCGTTCATTATTCGATGCTAATCCTTACACTTTTATTTAGTTACAAAGGGTCTAATCTTTTCAAGGAATATGTAAAGTTTGCTATATCTTATTCCATCAATACCCTTCCTAAGACCTGACCTATTTTGTGTATTCAAGTAAGAATTGTCAGTAATTAGATTTTACCGGAAGTCTCAAGGTCCCAAACCCTGTTTCAACTTCGAAAGTCTCCTTCCTGCCTCGTTCTTCCCACTCAGAGCCATCTGGCTCTGAGTGGGTCCTAGTCTGCTAAAAATGAGGTTTCAGGGGCCAAGTTTGGTCAAAGAGAGTTCTGACTGGGATTTTAGGGAACCAAGTCAAGAACAAATGTGTGGATGAAGAACAGAGGAAGAGAAAAAAGGCCAAATCTGAAGGTAGGTTTTGAAGGGTGAGTGGGAGAAATTTGGGGGATTAGGAAGGATTAAGGCTGGATTTTAGCGATTTTGGTGACTAAGACTGAGAGGTTTTTGGGAAGTTTGGCTCTGAGGAATGGGAAAAATGGTTTTTAGAGGATTTTAGTAGTTTTAGGTGAGGTTTAGAGATGCTGAGTGGGGCTAGATGCTACAGATATTTGATATTTCGTGGTTTTCAGAAGTGTTAACTAAAGTGTTTGTATAGTATAAAATGAATCCATCAATTACCAGTTCGACTAATTCACTGCAGTATAAGCTCAAAATTTTTCTCAAGAGCATTGGCTCGGGAGACCAGAATCAGGAGGCCTTACCTAAGACCCAAGTGCTGGCTAGTCAAATTCATATTAAAAAATAAATGATTTACAGCAGATTTCAACTAAATAATAGAAATTTGGGGTTTTGGGGTTTTGGGGTTTTGGGG